ACTGAACACATATAATCTGTCCTTGATAAAGTGTAAAACACCATCATGTTGAAGATGTGCTGCAACAGTCTAGCCTGGCGTAGGCAGTATCTTCCCTCAAGCAAAAGCATTTGAATATTCATTTAGATTCACGTTGAAAAATAAAATCCACAAATTCACAAAATGGACTCAACGATATGGATGTTAAAATCTACAAATGGGAGAATTTAAATTCTCAGTTCTATAGAAATTAAACAAAACGTTATAATTATATTAATAAGAAATGTATAACATACTGTAAATTAAAAAAAGGCTCCCGGGAAAAGTATAAACTTAGTTATGCATCCAAATCATTATTTTGGTGGCAGCCACATGTCAGGGGTGACTGTGGCCTCTCGGCACCCCCCCTCTAATCACGCCCCTGAGCTATTTTACTTATGAAGGCTGTGAACGTTTCAAAAAGCATTAAATTAAGGGGGACCATTTTTTTGGAAATTCACTTTTTTCTGATTCTTAATGAAAATGTCCAAATGTTGGTAAATGCGAATGTATCGACATCTTTCGCTTTTGTTTAAATGCAGGCAACTTTAAATAGCACCTGAAAACCTTGGTTTTAATTTATTGCATAGAAAAAATATGCAATGTTAAATATCAGAACTCAAAATGAAAGCACTGCTTTGAATACATCGATGTCATACATTTTTAATAAGGAAGGAGTTCTTGTCTGTGTCTGGGCTGTAGCCCAATATCTAGATTTTTTCGGTTACATTTCAAATAAAAGATTAGACATCGCAGGCCTTTTCCTAAATTATTTCTATCAATTAAATAAGTTATTTCTCACCAACAACAACGCTATTATATTTTCCCTCTAACAAAAAATGTTCAGTTTTCTTTACCCGAAAATAAATAAAAAATTCCAAAGATGTTTTAGGCCTCTAAGTAATTGAGACATATTAAATCAGTACGGAACCAAAACCCCTTTTTTTTTTACCATTTCAGACTGGTTTGGATTTTTTAAATCGTCATAACAACACAGTATCTGGCAATGTGGTTAAATGAACGATTCTGTCTTCAACCAGCATAAAAAGCGAGGATACATCCCTGTTTTTCGTTTTTAAAATGGATTGTATTTGAACAAAAAGTAACCCTAGCATCAACTCGTCTGTTTATGAGTCTGCGCGTGGCAGATGACTGTGTGCACGTGCGATTATATTAGAGAGAGGAGAGAGAGCGAGGGAGCTGTTTCATTGGCAGATACAGTGTGGCTTTCCCTCCTTATGCATGCCATCCTAGATCAAAAAGTATCCCACCAGAATCCTTGTAGCCATCCAATGCTGCTCCATCGATTAGTTTCTGGAAAACACTTAACAAACTAATGACCATTGATGGCTGATTAATATTGCATCAACAACAACCGATTGGCGACAGTATCAAATGGCGATCGCAGTTTAACAAACAGGCAGCCATCTGACGCGTGCTGCACAATATGTTGGCGGTGCAGAATAGCCAACAGATGATAAATAAAGGCTCATAGCGCGTGGTGCGTTCAATTCATGGCTCACACTTCGTCTAATTCGAGAGCAGTCGCGTCTTTGAAGGCAGACACTTGGCGTAAATGTACAGTTAAAATATTCTACTCCCGGGTCCCCAGGCGGAGCTCCGACAGTCCCTGGCCTCATTAAATTTTCATCAGTATCCCTGTGAAAGGGGGGAAATGTTCAGGGGAAAGAGAAAAATAAAACAGAGGGCGTAATTATAACAAAAGGAAACAGCGCTGCCCTTTTCGTTTTGTAGAAAGCTCCCACAGTGTCGTGCTGTATAGGTTTCAATGTATGGCAGCACAAGTGTCTGTGGCGTTAAGGTAAACTGTTGGCTTCACATATTTATTATATAAAAAAGACCTTCGATTTTCTCCCAATATGTGAAAGTAAAGCATGCATCAGTCTGGTTGAGAAGCTGCCTGTTTGTCTGTGTGTGTATGTGTGTTTTCTGTGTGTGTGTTTTTGCATGTGTGTGTGTGTGTCAAGCTAGGCTCCCTGCATAAAGTTAATTTCAATTCCCGATGAGACCCTCACTCCGCAGCCCTCCCTGACCAGCGGTAATTAACAGGGATAGCTAATGACTACTTAACTCGCTCTTCATAATTATCTGGTTTTCATAATTCGATGTGTAATTTAATAATTCGCTCTTATTAACGTATTAAGTGAATGGCTCATTTAGGGGAAATTAGAAGCACTCACCAGGAGCATCTTTTAATTGATGAACCATCATGGCTGTCTCATTAATAAGGCTCGTTTTGATACTCTTAATTTGTCACCAGGATGGCGGTTGAAGAGGTTTTGGTTTATGATCAGTGTTAGGAAGGCGTTGTCTTTGCAGCTTAAAGACTATTTATTAATGGTTTTTTTGTTGGATAAATATTGAAAAGATATATATGACATGTGTAATTAACTTAAGTCCTTAAATGTTGGAGTAAATAATAGTTTTAAAATATTTGGTGGAAACGTTGTGGATATTCTCGTCATGTGACACTCATGTGGAAAGACTGGTGCATTATAATGTTGTTTTTTTTTAAATGTAAACAATTGACATACTTTAAAAATGTCTTATTAACTATTTGATTAAACATGCTTTTTTTAAAGAAACATATATTTTTGTGTTTGCAGAATAATCTGCTAAAATGAACTGCCATGATCAATTACACATTATCCCAAAATAATCCCATGCAAATGTATTCCAGGTGCCGTAAATAATGAGTGTGAACGTGGAGGACAGGTTTCAGAAATGCTAATGTTCCTCAGGTATCTGTCCATGGTGCTGAAACGCTTGCTCAGCGCTCAACCAGCCAGTCAGCCTCTAAGCCCCCTAAACAGCAGCTCTGCTGTGGACATGACATTCAAAATGCTCCCCTCTTCTTCTTTTTACCCTCCTCCTCCTCTAACCATAACTTCGAACCAAAGGTTTTGCTTCAAAGCCTGCGAGCCCGCATGCAGGAACGAAGCATGTTTGAGTGTGTATTTAAATAGAGACGGGCACGTTGGCAGGCGAGCTGTTTTTCTGGCGGGCTGACATCTGGCAAGTCTGCGCTCCAGGGACCCATCCAGCTCTCCATAGACCCCCTGATTAGACTCTAATAGAATATTAGCATTTGCTCTCAGGTAAGGCAACAGTGAGCTGCATAAGCTGGCAGCAAGTCAGTGCAGGAGCCACGTGTGTCTTTAACATTGATGGAATAGAGATAAGGGCTCCTGTAAGGCCTGCTTTATGATGAGGCCTGGAGGAGCACGGTGCTCAGGCAAAATAGCTATTTCTAATTACCTTCTACATATTAATTCTATTCATCTGTTATATTATTAGACTTTGGATAAGGTGGGGGAGGGTTTGTTGTGGTGTCTTGCTCATGGGCACTATGACAGGGCTCATGGCTGTTTGCAAAATCAAACCTGACACCTTTTCATGATGTTAAAGTCACGTTACAAACCAAATGGCAAAATGTGTAGTTAAATAAGCCCAAAGAGTCCACAATGTTTGAAAGCTGTGCAGCCCACAGCTAAACCGTTTCCAGCCTCCTCATCAATAAATAAATAGATGAATAAATAAAATAATATGAATATGTCTGGATGAGACACATTACCCAGTGTAGTCATGGAAAACGTCCAATTAAATGTTAAAGTTTGTTCTTTAATGAAACACATATTGCAGTTCAATAATTAAATAAATAAAAATTACATGGATGTAATAAATTAATAGAATAATTTAACCAGGAAACAGAAGCAACATACATTACAGAAATAAGTTACCTCAGCTAAAACAGCAATACAGCAAAAACCTGTACGGATATATTTATGTGCATCGACTGGTTCCAATGAAATATTTACATTGTACACGTATACTTCCATGAAGCTGTTTCTTTTGTCTTCAAGAAAAAACATTACTTAAACAAGGTGATTTTAACAAGCAACGACTTCATAATGATGCGCGTATATTTATACAAATAAATAGCAGAAAACATACATAAAATAATTCAAAAAGAGAATACTATCTCATATATATCTCGATTGTACCATCTCAAGTGTTAAAAAATTGTAAACTAAAATGTTGTGACTGTATTATTTCACAGTCGTTTCCCTTTAAACCAGAACAACACGCCTAACTTGCTGCAGAATTTGATTTTCTCAAGCAAAACGAGGAGGGGGGAATCCCAATAAATATATAATGAAGTAAACATGACCTCACTCAATAAATAGTTCATAAGAGACCGGCCCACGCTGGATTGTAAACTTATTGCAGCCGGCCAGAAATCATATTATTTTAATTGCGAGATTCTGTGAAAGCTTTACACGTGAGTCACTATTTCGATATTTCCACATACTGAGGCCTAATAATAAAAACCTTATACCTTAAATCCAAACCCCGGGCATCTTAAAAATAGATCCCTGAATTTGATCACACATGGTAACAAAATAAGTGGAATTAAATTACACATTTAGACACAAAATGAAGTGTGTGACAATTAAATTATTAATTTACAAAGGATTATTTGGCAGTAATCTAATATTAGCTTTCAAGACCAATAGTATGTTATTCTCTTAATCCCCTCATGGACCTTGAATAAAATGTCAAACTGCATCGTCATGAACTCGGGAGTAAAAATGTATCTTAACCTATAACTTAAGCCCAAAACATAAACACCAATAATCATCATAAGTGCTTCGAGTTAAACTAGTGTGTAAATAACAACGCTGTTTTCATTGGGGGTATTTATGCTAAAGCAAACTATAGTCCTCATTTTAAACGAATTATAATTAAAAATGAAAGCATAGAGTCCTGTAAGTAATACTGCGTTGACATTAAAAAGGTGAGGCATAGTAAGTGTGGAAACAGTGGTCTTACTTGCTCTGTCAAACGATGCTTTACTTGACTCCACGTCTCCCTCTCAGCGAGTAAAAGACGTGACATGTGGGCTTTTCGAGTTTTTCAGTCATTGTTCATTTTTAAAGGAATTTTTCGAAGTTCAGAGCACAAAGTCATCGATGATTGGAAAACAAGGTGTGAGATAGGAAATATGATACAAATCGTCTCTAAACAGTTCCAAGTCTTTTGGTGGGTGGTGGTTCAGAGCGGTTTCAGATACATGCAGAGTATTTCATTCTTTTCTGTTTCTGTCGCTGGTTGCAAAACCAGACCCGGACCACGTTCTTCTTCAGGTCCAGCTTCTCTGCGATTGCTGCGATTTTCTCCGAAGAGGGACGCGGCTGAATGGCGAAATAGGCCTCCAGTGACCTCTTCTCTGGTGCGGCTATCGATGTGCGCTTCCTCTTTTTCTCCGCGCCGTTGAACAACTCGGGTTTATTAAGTTTATCCCTGTGTGATTTCTCGGCTTCTTCTAGCCATGCTTGCAGGATGGGCTTCAGAGCGATCATGTTGTTGTGAGAGAGAGTCAGGGACTCGAATCGGCAGATGGTGCTCTGGCTGAGGGAGCCCACCCCAGGTATCTTCAGGCTGGCTAAAGCTGACCCTACATCCGCCTGGGTAACCCCGAGTTTGATCCGTCGCTGCTTAAACCTCTCAGCGAAGGCTTCCAAGTCCCTGGGATCGGCGTCCACGTCGCTCATGCCCATGTGCTGCTGTAGCCCGTGGGCATGAGCCATGTTGAGGGCTGCCTGGTGCATGTGGTTCATGCCCGCCATGTGGGCAGGGTGCGTAGCCGTAGAAACCACCGAGCCATCCGGCCCTGCCATGGCTCCTAGTGCCAGTCCCGGGGAGATGTGATCCAGCAGGTCCCCCTCCAGTGGCTGGTGGTGGTGGTGATGGTGGTGGTGATGGTGCTGGCCAGACGAATGAGAAATAGGACCCGAGGAGGCGGAGGAGGAAGACGAGGTGCAGGGGAGAGTGTTCATGGTGTGGTAGGTTGCGTCCGGCTTGAAGGGGCTGTGATGTGGAGGGTGGTGGTGGTTCTTGTTCTGCGAGGCTATATCCACCGCCGCTAGAGCTTCAGCCCGGGCCAACAAACTCTCATCCAAGCCTCCGAATATATTGCTCTGCAATTGCAAATAGAATGCACACATAGCTGTCAGTAGGGACTTCTCCCTCCACTCCTCGGTTTAAAACATTTCCAGAATGGGAAAAAAAAGAAATCAAAAAAAGAAAAAGGAGCACACAAAACAAGACACATGCAACATCCCAGGTCATAAAAATTAATACGCAAGGCAAAGCCGACTGAATACATAAGTTGAGCAGAGGAGGAAAAAAAATATGGAGGTGTTGGGTGATTTGCTGTGCAGACATGAAAAAAACATCAAGCAAAAAAAGTGGGCTGTCAAAATGTGCCTTTAAGCAGTGATTATGCAGAATACGTACCGGTGGGGTTGGGAGACAGGCTCTGCGCATCGCCTCCGAGCTGCCGCTGCCGCTGATGATGGAGTTGCTGTGTCGGGCGGAGGAGCAGGAGGACGAGGCTACATTGGAATTGGAGTTTGAATGCAACGAATACTTCGGTTCGGGCAAGCTGGTGTGGGCCATAGCAAAATGGTGCTTGCTGTTCAGAGACATCATCATCATATTTGCGGGCGTCCAAGCCTCGGCAAGTTCCTTTTAATAAGTTAAGACTCCGCCTCCTAGGATGGGAGTTGAAGCCCAATTGCTTCACAGGAATCTCAAGTCACTGGCGAGTAAAGTGTATTCTGAAGACGGTCGTCCAATACTGAAGTTATCACATCTATTTATTAATTCTAGTGGAGGTAAGGAGATCTTTTTTGGAAGATGAGATAACGCGAACATCAACAAGCCATGCAACTAAGCGTAGACGATACCTTTTTCCGTCTGGACGTGTAGCGCGATAGTTAGAAAATGAACCTGTTTTTTTTTCTCCTGCAACCGTCTCCACCTTCTATAATATTTTTTGTTTTGCCTTGGATTTTTTTGTGGCAGAACTCCTCAAAGGCGACGCCAGAAAAAATGGAAAAAGTTTCTTTCCGTCTCTTAGGATTTCCAAAAGACGTCAAGCTTAAAACAGAAGCCGATTTCGTTGACCTGTTTTGTTATTTTGTGAAAAGTTTCCGTCTTGAAATGACCGTAAGTGAGAAGTAATGGCGGTGACAGTCTCTGTACCTCGTTGAATGCTGCGGGGACCCGAACTGCCTCTGCTTTGAGGCGAAGGGCAGACTGAGTCTCTCTTCGCCTCGCTCTCTCTTTCTCTCTCTCTCCCTAGCCCCCCTCCTCTGACACACACACACACACTCCCCCTTTCTCTCTACAGCTCTGTCTTTCGCCCTCTCTCACACACACACACACACACACACACACACACACACACACACACACACACACACACACACACACACACACACACACACACACACACACACACACACACACACACACACACACACACACACACACACACACACTGTTTCCAGCTGTACCTGAAAAACCCTTTCATGATTTATTATTCTTCATTAGCCACACCAGCACCACCGCCACGGCCGCCGCTGGGGACTCTGCGCATGGGCAGTCTGCGACAAAGGCATTTCAAATGACTATTTCTTACCACCAGCACCTCGTTACCAACACCTCGTCTTATGAAGTTCAGAGACTTTTTTAAATCCGCTTTAATGCACCTGAAAATGTTTTATTGTTTTAGGATTGGAATATATATTGTAATTGTTCCAAACGCGCCTCCGATGAATACCTTGGACAGCACCAGTCCTATACTGATGTCAATATCCTCAACAAATATTATCGCTAAGAGATTTCTGTCAGTTTATATAGCCTACTATAAAAAATCAAGCTGTCATTTATTTTTCTTTCTTTCTTTCTTTGAAAAAAAAACTAATATAAAATGATTGGCAATTGCTCAGGTTACCTCAAAATGTAGTGGAAATGTTTCATATTGCTTGTAATCTTTTCTACTTTGTTGCAACGTATGAACCTTGAATAATTTTGTTGAAAAGACAAGAAATAAATCGGTAACCATGTAAGAAAATTATAACCTATTTTTCAATGTTTTGTATTGTTTTCTGCATGCTATGTTGCATGCACTGAAGGGCACTATACTTGTCGAATGTCGATAAAAGGGCATATTTAAAAATGATTATCACTATTAAATTGCAAATCTATATACTTGTCATATCAGACTATTCTCTCATCTTATCTCTCCTCTAATTAAGCCACCTCATTGGTTATTTAAATAATTTTATCACATTGTAATTAACAAGGGGTGTCTAATCTGTTTAATATGATCACGTCTTGGTGTAAGTCTCTCGGAGGTTTGAAAGTATTTTTATGGAAAACAATGCCTCTTGGATTTTTTCTGTATTTTCCTGTATGGCTCTACATTTTCTAAACACTGCTCTCTCTCCACACACACACACACACGCACACTCACACGCACAAAGGTATACATCCTGTAGTTATGAAGCAGTGATCAATGTCTTTGACAGGCAGTGGGGTTGACCCGTAAATCACCTTAAATGTGTTAATAATATACATCGCTAATGTTAAGGACTCCACATTAAATTCCCACCGTTTAACTGGAGATTATTAAGTATGGTGTTAATTATAATAATTATAGACACCGCCTCGGCATGGGGCCACAGCCGCGCGCCGCTGTAATAAGAGTGTGAAAGCGCGTTAATGGAGGCTACCGATGTTACCGCGTTAACGTGGCTTCCTGAACACGTCGGTATGTCAGTTCCCGTTTTTTTCCCTCTTGATTCACGCAGACATTTGCTACGTCCCCACGGCAGCGACAGAAACCCTGTTGGTGTTGCTGCAGCAGTTTTACAGAGAGCCATCATGTTGCCTCCCCAGCGGGACAACAGCCACCTCCAGACAGGAGACAGAGATCAGGCTCAGGAGACATCAAGGAGCAATCAGTGTCTGCTCCCATATACCGACAGACTGATCTATGATGAAACTTTAAAGAAATCATTTATATTTCACCACCACTAAATTGGTGTATGAAATTTTCATCCACAATGAAACACACAAAGTATATCTTAAGTCAAATAAATCAGCCTGAGCTGCTCCCAAGCAATTGACTTTGAAGTACGTTTTCAACACTTTCCTGAGTGTGTTCACGTAAGGCTTTACTTTCTGTGCAAACAGCGTTCTTTCTTTGAGGGAGGATAGTTTGTCAGACTGGTTAACATAATCACCTTTGAAGGGTCTGCCTCTGCAAACAGAAACACAATTAACAATCCTGGATATTTCTGTAAGAATCACAGACCCTTTTTTGGCTAATGTAGAAATTGATTTGATTATCATATAATGTAAATTGTATTTAGTCTATGTCTAATTAATATTCAGTTTGTTTATTAACATTATGACAGCTTATACATTTAGATTCATAAGCAAAATTGATAAATAAACAAAACCCCTGCCAAGATGTAATTTTAGGTAAGCCTACAATGGTATTAACAAATTATTTAACCATAACAAAAGATTTACATATAAAATAAGGATGCCAAATGATAAACATCACACACTTGAGATCGGGCTAGTTTTGTTGCCACTTTTTAAAACGTTACTCATTGTCAGCTGAATGCCCTACCAGTTTAGAAAAAAATTGGCCTCAATTTGTGTCGTCACACTGATCCAGTAATTGGTGTGAATGTTGCTATCATACAAAGACTTGTCTCAATGCAGGAAGGTGCAGTCGTTCCTTACCTTTACAAAACATAAACCCTCAGTAGAATTGTGCAAGGAAAGATTTCTCTCACTTCAATGAGCTTTACTACACATAAATACATCGGCACTGTCTGAAAAAAAAGTAAAAGCCCAAGTAAAATAGAGAGAGCAGATGCAGCAAGGCTTGATATAACTCAGGTGACTTGTTTGCTTTTTTTCCTCCTCACTCTCTTACTTGCATCCGAATCAAGGAGTGCTGCAGAGGTGTCTGTGTGCTTTACACAAAGACATACTCTTCTCAGCCTCCCTCAGGAGCTCTCCACGTTAACAATCCCAATTACACCGAGACCACCAGAGACAGCTGTTTTTATTACAGAGCCGCTCCTTTGTGCCGCCAACAAGGTATCTCCGCTCCTAGACTGAACACAGAGAAAAAGCTACACACAGAGAAAGAGGAGAGAAGTGTGGAGTGAAGTGGATGAAGTCTCTTGACTGCTCGCAGTGGTGATGCCTTTATTCACAGCTTCCCCCTCCCCTTTCTGATCTTGTGGAGCTCTTTACATGTCGGAGCAGAAGGTCAATGCTTGTTGGGAGAGGGTCTACATTCTACAAAGAGATCAGGATCTAACTCAAGGCAACAGCAAATCACACAAAGAAGGGGGGTGTTTCAGCCACTAACGGCAGTGCTTTATTTATTCATCTGCTTTACCTGGGAAATGTGACAGGTTCCACAAGGAACATTGTGGCTTTAATGTGTTGTTTAAATGCATACAACAAAAGGCAAAAGCCTTCAGGATTTACTAAATGTCACACTGTACTGTAGCTCTCAGGGGGAACAAGTGGCTCACCACTTGAGATAATGAAAGAGGTTTCAAAAACTGCACTTGAATTGCAGCTCAACTGGTATACAAACTGTGAGACAGTTTTGTGTTTGATCTCTACGTTGGTCAAAATAAAAGCTTCAACAGTTCTCAGTATATTCTAATTAGTTCGTATTGGTAGATACAGATACCGTTTTTCTGTAGTATTTTATTGGAGCGACTTTTCCTAAAACAGTTAATAGGACCTGAAATGAGCATCTAGTATTAGGGCAGGTTACGAGGACATTACCAAATAGGCAACCGTTGTGATTAAATAACACTTAATTGGATAATAACAAAAGAACATTGGAAAAGGCTAATAATCCTTGTAACCAAACCCCTTGGTCGCAACTTGCAGCCATAAAATTGCCTTATAAAATGTTCATCTTGGCGCCTCTGCGTTTTGACTCAGCCCAGTGGCCTTGTGGATAAACGTGTACATCCCAAGCAAAATAATAGAGATTGCATGTCAATAAATGAGTGGTGGATTCCTTATGCCATAACTGATCTTAGCCTAATTTAAAAGTTACATAATTCATTTTTGGCCACCAGGGGGCAGTGGAGCGAGATATACATATAACATGACATATTATCACCTTATGAAGTTATATGCTAAATATTTTTAGCTTACAGCTGATTATTTACACATGAACAATGTAAGCATATATTTGGAATTATTTGAAAAATATGAAATCTTCATTCAGCTCTGTTTTGATCACCACCATCTCCTGAGGGAAATGTTGGCTTCTTAATGGTTAACTGTTTCTCTGTCCCACCGGTTAGTCGCTAGCTTTTTCTGTCTGCCCTTTGGCCTTCAGCAGGGAGAATAGAGCTGGTATATCTGATGTCCTTTTCTGAAACAGCTGCTTTCTGCTAACAATACTGATGAGAGAGGTGAGATTAAATGGTAAAGTTGTGGGCCATGAAATCGGAACAAGAAAATGACAGTTATTAAATCCATTGTCAATATAAACATATTGATAATATGAGCTTTAACACATGTCTTTGTTGCTTGACCTCAGAGTTAATTTACTGTAACCATTATCTTCTCCTTACTGTAGCCATACCAACGTTGCTGCAAGCAGATATTTTGCAAATGTTATTAAATTATTTTAATTGTTGGTAGTTCATGTTAAAAAAGGTGGATATTGAATGTTATTTTGTGTTTCGTGCAATTGCACATATAAACAATTGAGTCTGTTT